TGTAAATCAGATTAAATGCTTTGGAATTTAAACCGCTATCTCTTCAGTCTCTTTTCATTTTTGAATAAAAAGTTTAAATGGGAACGGAAAAAAACTGCTCATTGGCTTAACATAAATCTTTAAATTGCAGTAAGCTTCACTCTCAAAAAGTAGTTGAATCTCTGAGGAAAGAGAAAAGGCTGAATTCTATTTTTCATAAATGATGGATTATTGTACCACACTGTGTATTTTCCAGTAAGTGTCCTTTTATTTGCACTGTGTGATTACAAGTTTCTAAAAGTATGTGTGGGGTCACTTGGGTGCTGTGGGAAAGTGGAAGGAACACTGTTCTGTTAAAATCAGTAGTGAAATCAGAAGCAAACTATGTCCTGATTACCATAGGCATGTGTTTAAATTTTGCTTTCCTTAATTGGTTATGTTGTATTTACTTAAAATGAACAATTTGGCAAGTTTTTCTCCCTTGACAACAGAAAAGCGTAAACTGTTTTATAAGTTTGGCTGTTAAAATCAGATTTGTAAACCACAATATTCAAAGAGTTTTATTGCTGTTTACAGGGGTCCAGTGATGGACTTTGCTTTATAACCATGTGCTTTTTACATTTTTAGTTTGTATTTACAGCGCTTTCAAGTTATTTGGTTAATAAAAATTATGCCATATATTATAGTCATCTATTGACTTTAACTTCTGCGGATCTCTTCTTAGAACAAAGTGAGCAGAATGAATGATGGCAAAGGCCTGGCAATTTGACTTGTCATCTGAGGACGATTATTTATGGCATCAGGAAATGGAAGTTGACACTCTAGTCTGTCTCCAGGAAAGTCATCATTAGAGGCAACTTCGGATAGTTTGGCTATGTTAAAAACTGTGTAATCATATTCAAGACTCTGCTAGTTTCTCAGAATGTATGAGAAAGAAACAAGCTAAAACATTTTAAAATACACTTTCATTTTTCTTGAAAAACCAGTGTACCTTACATACATTTCTCACATGTGGAGGCAGAAGTTGGTATTGAAAACAATATATATATATACACTATATAATTACTTCCATAATCTCACATTTATACCACATGTATGTATTTTAATTTAAAAAGTACTTTTTAATCATATCATATTTACTAGTCCCTAACTGGCCAAAAAAATACCTCTTTTGGCCCTTAATTTCTTGACATTCTATCATGGAAAATGACAAGGTTTTGAGGTGAGACTAGACATAGAAAATGGTAACCTGTGAAAATTTAGATTGATTATTCCATATCATTTCAAAGGCAGACAGACTTGAGACCAGAATTACTGAGGTAGATTCTTCCTGAAGGATAAGTGTTCCTTTAGCTCCCAGTACTAGAACCCAGAGCCACGGGGCTTTGATACAGCTATCAATTGGAGCAGATTATGTATGACTGGACCCAGATGAAAGTTGATAGGATAGCATATAAGCACAGTATATTAAGACACTCAGAATGACTCATCCAATCATACAGTTTTGAATCAGTTAATGCCTGACATTCATGGTCCTGTAAAAGCAACTATGGCTTGCATGGGTTTTCAAGGCACTTGCTATTTCTCCAAAATGACCTGAGGTCTGTTCCTCCTCTAAGAACCCTTAGTCTCTTATACTTCAAACTCCTTATCATGATGTATTATTACTACATAGACCGTATGCATTTCTATCCACAACAGTTAAATCCAGCACTGCCATGTATTCAGTAGGTGGTCAATGTGTGTGTGTGTGTCTGTGTGTCTGTGTGTCTGTGTGCGTGTATCACCTAGCAGCACTGTCCAAAAATATCTGAGCTATGTGTGTAATTTAAAATCTTCTCATAGCCACATTTTTTAAAGTAACAAGTTTTAATAATATATTAATTTTAACAATATATTTTTTAACAAAAATATCCAAAACATTATTATTTCAACCTACGACACAAGCTGCATTTCAAGTACTCAATAGCCCTGAGTGACTAGTGGCTACCATATTGGACAACACAGGTCTAAAGCAGTGCTCCTCAAACCATTTTATGTTCAAATGCACAAAAAAAATGATAATATCTGCATAGCCCACTGGAACAAATAAATAAGACTGCTCATAGCCAACAACAATTTCCCAGGGGCTCAGGTTGCCTTGGTCCTGCTCAATTACACAGAGTGCTGAGGGCATCCGTAAATCTCACTCTACATAACCATCCTGTCAGGTATAATAGTTGGGACGCTCTGGTCTACAGCAGTGCTTCCCAACCTTTTCAAGTGATAGACCCATTGACCACACTCACATGAGAGTGGTTGTACTTTTATAAACAGCTCATTTAATTAACAGATAGCAGATAGATAGACAATAGATAGATGATAGATCAGATATGTATGTTTTACATATATATTTTTATATACATGCTACTTATAGAGAGAGATATTATTAAAATAATAGGGTTTTTTTTTTTTTGCTTTTCACTGTTGCTTTACATTTTGTCAGCGTGGGAGTAGCCCTTCCACCACCAATAAACAAGAACTGAAGCAGGTCCTATAACTTGTCCCTTCAGTTTAAGGGAATGATTCTCAGCAGGGAGCACTTTTCCCCCCTCTCACCCCAGAAGACAGTTAGCAATGTCTGGAGACATTTTTGATTGTCACACCTGAGGAGAGTGTGCTACTGACATATTGTGGGTAGAGGCCAGGGAGGCTTCTCAACATCCTTATCCTGTACAGAGCAACTCCCTGCAAAAAAGAATTTTTGGGCCTAGAATATCAATAGTACTAAGATTGAGAACCTTACTTTGAGGTAATAGAAGATATTATGGTCTTATAAGTAGCAAGTACTGTCTCAACTCAGTATTTAATAGTGTATAACCCCATGTGATAATCAAAATTTTGAACTTAATTTAAAATTAAAACTCCACTCTACACTTAGCTAGGAGGGGGGCAGGATGTCTTCCTCTTCTTTTCCTTAGCCTAACACTTCACTCCAACTCCCCATTTTGCTAACGCAAGTTTATAACTACTTTGTAGTCAAAGCTAGAGGAAGGAGGTTGCAAAAATGTCCTTATTTGACCAGTTATAAGAAAGCTTCTCACACTCTAGGCCTGGCAGAATTTTTAAAGGATACACTCTCCCTTAGGCACTTTTGCGGGTTCCTTGGAGACCCCACTGGGAAAATTTGACTTCAGATCCTCTAATTCAGGCAATTTATTTTCTTCCAGCTGCAGCTCCCTCCTAAGTCTCTCTCTTTTCTCTTCTGAGTTCCTCAGGAGAGGATAGAATGACTCAAGTGAAGCTCCCCTACAGCTGTAACTTAGTAAAGTGTTTTGCACCCAATAGCTACTTAAAAAATTTTAGTTGATTAAAACCATTCTACTTGAAATGACTACGTGAGCTCCTGATATTTCTGTTTTCCTTCCCCTTCCATTCTTTCACCAATACTCCAATACATTAGAATACCAGATAAAAATCCTATGAGACTGGTCCCATATCCAAACTGGACCTTGGACAAGTTACTTAGCTTGACTCTCTGACTTAGCTTCTTCATCTCTAAAATGGATGAATTAGTTTATATACTTCAAAAGGTCATTTGAGATTTGATTCAACAAATATTGACTAAACACTTACTAATTCTAAACAGTGTTTGAGGTATTAGGGACACATTAGTGAACAACATTTGTAAAAGTAGATGAAAATCCCTGCCTACATGTAGCTTACATTGCAGTAGAATTAGGTTAAATCATATTAGGTGCTTAGGAGAATATCAAGCATAAATTACGGTGTCAGTACATTTTAGTCATATTATTATTAACCCAACTGAATGATTGGCTTATTCTAAAATATGATTTGAGAGGAAAAGAACCTTTATGTTCCTCCTTAAGTGCCCCAAATCCTCACATGACGTCAGTAATTAGATTAAGACAGTGAAGGGCCCACTTACGATCTGTATCTCAGGTCATACAGATAATAAATTCCTATCATTTCAGGAATTATTAATGATAAGAATCATTGTTAACAAGTTAGTTAATAAAGTCATTAATAATAAGATAACTTGAATGTATTTAGACTCCATGCTTAATGAAGGTACAGACCTTAAGTGTTACGTTCATCATTGAATTCACAGCGTTTAGCATGGGATGTGATAATCAGTAGACATTCAGCAAATATTTGCTTAGGAAATGAATTTGATGCACACCTAACTTTGAAGATAACAGTGAGGCTAGGAAACTGAGGATGGGGGACTGATGAAGACATGGCAAAAGTTTGAGGCAATATGTGTTACAGAATTTCACCTAGAGGTAATTTCACACACATAAGAAGAGTAAGAAATATCTGCTTTCTGAAAAAGAAATCACTTTGGGTTAACTTGATAAAGAAAATTGATGAAATTATTTGGGCAAGCAGGATCTTTGAAAATGCCTACATTTCCTACAGGCAGTATATAATCACAATTAATTGAAATTAACCAGAGCTTTTTTTTTTTTTTTTTTGCGGTATGCGGGCCTCTCACTGCTGTGGCCTCTCCCATTGCGGAGCACAGGCTCCGGACGCGCAGGCTCAGCGGCCATGGCTCACGGGCTCAGCCGCTCCGCGGCATGTGGGATCTTCCCAGACTAGGGCACGAACCCGTGTCCCCTGCATTGGCAGGCGGACTCTCAACCACTGCACCACCAGGGAAGCCCAACCAGAGCTTTTTTATCTCTAAGTTAGATTAACTTTTCTACAATTTTGTGTATGGATACAGTTAGGTGGAATTATACAGATAAAGATTATTGTGGTAAATATGAGGAAATGAATGTGAGATAAATTGTGAAAATATGGAGCTAACCACATTCTCATTACACATGCATGTTGCAACAGAGCTAACATTTTCATATGGACAAATTTTTACTCCTATGCCCTGTCTAAACAGAAGGGCCTGAGCTATTAATTCAGGTAGTTGTCCCATAAGTACTGTTTTCTATTCATATTTGCATAAAGTAATAATCATAAAGGAAAAATTTACTGAAAGCCTCTTTTTTTTAAATCTCCAGTGTTCAGACTGCATCATAGTGCTTCTGATACAAGCGACAAAAACCGAGTTAAGAGCAGATTAAAGAAGTTTATTACCCGAAGACCTTCCCTGAAAACTCTGCAAGAAAAAGGACTTATTAAAGGTATAGAACATTTTATACTTTTACTGTAACAGTGATAAATAAATGCGCCTCTGTGTCCATAGTTATTCAGCTCTAAAGGAGTATTAAGATATTTTAGTCTTTTTAGGTTGCTTATTAAATGTTCTGCTCTATAACAGAGGAAAAAATAGTTGTCCAGAAAACTAATCCTGAGAAAATAAAGGTTGTATCAGAGGATCATTGAAAAAAAACACCTAGTGTTGCCCTCAGAGGATCTGGGCTCTGGACCAGCAGCCGAGAAGAAATATCCTAGTAGCCCATCAGAATGATCCCATGTCCCCACATGCCTGGACAATCCTAGTTATACCTGTCGTCCCAGAATACTTAGTAACAGCAGCCCTTTTCATTCTCAGATGAATCTTGATTTGTCCTGTAAGTTGTCTGATCATGTAGTCATAGTCTGAAGTAAGTGCGAGGAAGAAAGTGCTAGGAGGAAAGTCCAAGATAAACTAGTGTCATGAAAACTTACAGATTTGAGAGCTGGAGAACCTAGAACTCAATCTAAACTGAAATAAGCAGGTACTTTTGCAAATATATCTAAAGTATATAAAATATCCTAGACCAGCCCAGCCACCAGAATAAAAAAACACTCTGGCAAGAGACTGTAATTGGAATTCAGACCTTGGTTCTACCACTCACTAATATGGACATTGAGCAAGTTATGATCTCTGAGCCTCAGATACCTCTTCTGTTAAATGGGTATACTTATACCCACCACCGAGAGGACCACTAAAACAAATAAATGAGATAATCCATTTAAAGGATTTAACAGAGTTTCTGGAACATAATTATTCAAGAAATGTCCTCTGCTATTATTAATGCCATTATTATTCATTACTGTCGTTATGACCGGTAGTGTACCAGATAGATGAAAGGATGGATGGACAGATAAAACCAGTGATGTAGATTTCTATCACTGGAAATCATCACTTAGATCACACAGGCAAGTATATTATTTTCCTAAGAAGAAAACATGCATCAAGTCCATTATTCTCTCTGGTTTTCAAATTTTCTAACTGATGCATATATTTTGAAAGTTAAATACAAGAAAGAATTTGAAAAGAATTTGGGCTAAAACAAAGTCCTAAAATAAACTTTGAGAACAAAGTTGAAAGACTGATCCTTATAGAAATCAAAAAGTGATTTAATATGCAATTATTTCTCAGGAACAGGACAAAGCAGATAATATTTTCAGCACTACTTAGAATGAGAATGATTTCAATAGTTTAGACTGTTTGACCTATCAATTTCAGTCCATTTTAAAAGAGGTGAACGTATCACAAAAATCATCTAGCATTCTGAACCAATTGTGAAAGGTGAACTTTTATGCAGCATGAACACACCTATCACTAATAGAATGGAAAATTCTTAGAATGTAAGCATTTGCAAGTCGAACTAGAACGTGCTTTAAATCAGTCTTAGCTCAGACTTTTACTGTCTGAAGTGTCTTTTTCAGTGGACAGCATTTGGTCCTCTACAGATCCAACTTCATATAGTAATACAGTAGTACCTTCAATTCTGCCTTCGAATTTATCCCCTAGATTAAAAGTTTCTTAGAAAGGATTCAGTAGCATGTTACCTGCCATCCTGACAAAATACAAAACCAGATAAGTAGCCCAAACAATCCCAATCTGACATAAAGTCCAAATTTTTCATGACTGTGGCAAAATAAAAGGGGTTTTAATTCAGTGGCACAGTCTGGCCCCAGTCAAAATGCTAAAGAATTAATAACCATAGTGCTCTAGAATTGGTCTCAGAAAGCGGCAGAGAAACCGGATGCCTGATGCAGTTTTCATACTGATGTAATGGAACCACCGAACACACTCCAATGATACATTTCCTATCTTAGAGCTCCATTACATTTTCACCATAGCTGACCAATGAGTCAGTATTCATTAGTAGGGCTATGGAAAATCTATGTGAAATTCCAATTTGATAAGCTTCCATTGTTGTCTTCAGTGGAATTTTCTTCCAAATACAGTTCAAGTTATGCAAATATAGTCACTTCTTGGGCTTGTTTCAGTTTTAACTGTGAATTTTTTGTAAGGCTTCTTCTGAGACTTTTTTTTTTAACCGAGTAGAAAGGATTAAACCAATTTTTAAAAAACGCAGGCCTAGTCAAATTTAGTACTTTAAGTCCATTTTCTTAGCATATCTAAGGCAAAGACTTAGAAAAAACCAATGAAATCAGTGTTTCTGATTGGTTATGAAAACTCACATAACATAAATTAATGATTAACAGTTAAATATTTAATTTCTCCAAGTAAAATGACTTAACTCTTTCAAGAGAAGAATTATTTAGAAAGAGGGATAATGCCTTTAAATTTATTCTGCAGTGCATTTGACCAAAGAATATATATCAAATTCTTTAAACTGTCTAATTTTCCACATGTGGAATAAAGGCCTCCATTACCAAGGTTTGGGAAAGTTTGGTAGTTTGCGTCTTACAAGTGTGCTTCCTGATACCTGGGGGGTGGGGGTGGGGCTTGACAAGGCCACAGACACTTTTCAAAGTGTTTACTCTTTTATGTAGTGTTCCCAACAGACTGAGAGGCCTGAGTTTTGAATTCAGCCAGCCTTTATTGAGCCCTCACTGTGGCGCAGGAAAGGCTGTGTTTTATGGACTTTAAATGCCCAGCAGAACTATATTCACAAAGTACTTTATGTGAAAAGAAAACTGTCCCAGTATTACACAGTCTAAGCTCAGTCACAAAGCCTTTCTTCAAAACCTGTTTTTAGGACTCACGGAGACCTAGCCAATATGTGATTTCTTTGGCCAGGTTTTAGGTCTGGAAACAGTCTCTTGATGGGGCTGCATTTTCTGATTTCTTTAATATGACTAATGAGAAGGGTACATTGTGATGCCAAAAAGGGGCCATCAGATAATTCTGAATGATCACCCAGTGGAAGGAAATCGTAATAGCTCAGGTGGGCGTTGCAATCATTGTGCCATTGCAGGGGTAGCTTCTGAAAAGCTTTCAATTTCTCCAAGTGCTTTCACATTTGCCAAGGGAATGGCAAGAGCTTTTTAAAAGTATGAGTTTATTACATTGAGCCTCTCATAGAAAACAAAACTCCAATCAGTATAATATGTAAATTATAGGGAAGAGGGTACATTTTAGGGTGGTAGGTGTGCTTATACATGTCCTCTACTTGCTTTTGGAACTGAGATTATAGCTCTTTAGCGTCAACCAAACTACCTTATGTAATCTTTCAAATGGCAGCATTGACATCCAAGAACAGAAAACACTTGGCAGTGCAATTTTTAGAAAAGATAACAATTGGTTGGTTTTTTAGGAGCAACTAGTGTTTCCTTATATCAAAATGATAGAGTTAGAAAGTACTGTATATTTAGAAAGTGGTTTCTTTCATCTTTGTATGGACAAAACCATACTGGATGATATTAGCAGAAATTGAGAGTAATGCTGCACTACTTGTATTTTTTACTCAGTATATTGTAGAGGAAACAACCAGTCTGAGGATGAAATAGTATGCCTCCAGGATTTATGATGAAAAGCAGTGTTTTCCTGCCTTACCCCAGTTTTCCTTCTTGCAGGGCACCGTTTGGAATGGTTTCTGTTTGCAGCTCTTCTGGTGGCTGCCTCCCTATCTTATGTTATTGTTATTTGGGGTATAGATTTTTGTCAATATCTTGCTTATCTGTAATGTTTTAATATCTTTATTTATAAAGCTTAGACATTACCTCAGATTTATTTTACAATGAATCTGACATAATTAAACTAGACTTCATCTACCTGGCCCTCTCTTCCCCAAATACTCAAATATAGCCGGTCTTGCTGTTACTGTTGGCTTCCTCTGAAACATTCAACATACTTGAACCTCTATTTATTGTTCTATTAACCATAGAAAATTGAGACTTAATGCATCCATTGGCAAGATGAGAAGCATAGTGTCCTTTGCCCTTTCATCTCCTCTGCCTTTGCTATTGAGTCTTCTATGTTTTGAAATTTTATATTATTTCACTGGTTTCTGTAATTATGACTTATTTATAGGTTGACTCTAAAAGCAGAAAACCAAAAAAACAGGTTTCGTATGATTGTGATTAGGTAAGGCTGCTTACTGCAGCACCAAGTACTAGACTTCCTTCCCTTTTCTTACAATATCATGACCCTGTGACTCTCAAAGAGAAATGCACCTTGATCCTGGTGAAAAAGATTCTCCTTTCTTTTACATTTGAAGGTTATATTAGTAAGTTTATGTTGTTTCACAACCACAATCAAGTCTTCTATTTCCCACCCCCCCCACCCCGCCCCCCGCATATTTTGAATCTAAATGTGAAAAAAACAGTCAGTTATTCATGAGCATTTACTTCATATTTATCATGTAAATATTATGGAATTTTTCCCCAGGTAATTTGCCAGATTGGATTAACTTATCCATGGGTCCAATGCTATGCCGTATTGGCCACACATATTATAATGTTCTTATTTTTAAAGCTTATGCTTCATCATTTGCTTATAATCATGCTATTGTTTAGTTTGATATATTTTTGGATTGTGAATTTCTTGTACAGATGTTTTTTTTTCCCCCCAGAGTTTTATTTTTTATTGCTTTCTGAGCCTTTACATCCTCAAAGGCTTTAATCCTCTCAATTAAACATTCTATATACTTTAGTCTGTGACTCCCTGGTTTTTACCCCAGGATGTTTTCTAAAGTCCTTCCACCATCCTACTTCATTTGTATTGGTTGCTTTCCAGACTTCACATTTATCACCCTGTGATTTCCTTTCACTGATCTTCTGAGTTGTATTCACTGTCTTCTGAATCACATGCATTTTCTTTCTTGCTTTAATTTCTTCTATTTCTATGTAACTCCAGTGACTCATTTAGGAAACACGAAAACTTGACTGCCTAAAAATATCTTCAGGATGCAGGCACACTTAATCAATAGTTTAGTTGGGCATAAAATCCCATTGCCTCTAGAATACAGAGTTGCAGCTTCCATTCTTACTCTTGTTACTT